CATAAAGTAATAGTATAAAATCAACTATAGCACTTATCAGGTGATAAATAACAAACAACATGAACAAGTGACAAACGAAGCAAGTACGTAATCAATCACAATATCAAGCACAAACACGAGGACTCATGCCTCCACACCACGCTCGTTTGGGAAATGGGTTCTTTGAGATTGAGTACATTCACTTAATTCAATATGTTTTCCTCTTTAATGTTACTGTGTCGGAACGTGGCACTCTGATCCAATAATATCATGTCGAAACGTGACACCCGATCCAATAATATTGTGTCGAAATGTGACACTTCAATCCAATAATACTGCGTCGAAACGTGACACCCCGATCCAATAATACCATGCCGAAATGTGACACCCGATCCAATAATATCACTAATTTATCATTTATTATCACCACCTTTCACTTCATTTACAATAGTTCATCAAGCCTTCTTTATTCAAGACATCACTTTGATAGAGAGGGTTCAAGATTATAAATTTCACGGCCTCAGGATTTCAGACCAATCACAAACCACACAACCAAGCCACTCAACCACACAATCAAGTACATAGAGAACTTCACAATATCACTCAATGCATATTAATCACTATTAAGAGTCTTATCTATCAAATAGAATTAAACCATAACCTACCTCCACCGAAGAACCGAAGAACCGAAGTCAAGCAAGTCTCCAATACTTTTCCTTTCCTCAATGCCTCCGAACCTTTCTAGTCTATCAAATATATATGCATAATTTGTAAGTTAACGAGTCTATAAACACTCATATTATTCTATGTCTAGCCTAGACCCAAAAACTCACCTAATTCTATAATCAATTTCCTAAAATTCAAACCTAAGGTAAGTCTTAATTCCTCCAATTAGCATAACTTTAATGTAATTCATATAATATACTACACCTTATATTTAATTACTTATCTCAATAAGTTAAATCTTAGATTATAATGTGATAACATATAAACAGAACCTCAAACATCAAAGGTCACTGCGTTAATATTAGTAACCAGGATGTATAATTTCCATCCTGAATTGAATTTGGCCTATTCTATATTAATCAAGTCGTTAGATTATCATTATCTCATCATTGCCAATCATCATGCATTTATTATCCACTACTATTTGTCTCCCCCAAATCTTAAGAACTAAGATTTTAAACAAAAGAAAATTCAATAGTTTCCCTTCAGTTCCATTAATGTTCACGTATTCGCCTCTTTCCTTTTAACAATTAACCTTATAATAATAAATTAACTGCTCGACCAACCATTAACACTCTGTTTGGATCATTGTTTCATAATGTATTGTATTGTATTGCACTCTATTGTATTGTACTGTATGGTAGATACAATGTTTGGCTAGACTATACTGTTTGTTGTTATTTAATAACATTTTAATTGTTTGGTTTGATTGTATCGTACTGTATTGTAATTTATAAATTTACTAAAATATCCTTAATTATTCTAGGGTAGGAAGTTTGACTAGAATAAATAATATAAGGTAAAGGGTAAAATAGTATTTTGAAATATTATGTAAAGATATAATTGGAAAAAGAAATTAAGTAACAATGGGAACACACCAAATCGGTTATTCCATAAAATAGGGATTTTCATTGTTACGTAACAACGAAATTTAATAATACAATACAATATATTTTAAGTAACAATCAAAACAAACATTATAGGTATAGTAACGATACAATACAATACAATGGGTAACAATGTTCCAAATAGAGTGTAAGAGAATTCCCACGCTGACACCAACCCTATCTCGATTCAATTTCAACATTATAATATAATAATTCCTACACTAGCATGTTATAATTTTCCTACATTATCGTTTATTCATCTCTTTGCAAAGTAAGAAAAATTTCTTGGAATACCTTAAGCCGCCGCTTCAATTTTGTTCAACAACCGTGCAAATCTTTTAAAAAAAAATTCTTCTACAAGTTATTTACTACCCTAATATTATATGACTAATTATAAAAAGTGGAAAAAGTGATCCACTATTAATTTACTGTTATTTTTTTTAACCACAAACTAAATAAATTATTAAAACTATCCCACTAATTTCATAATTCTAATCACGAATAGTCCAAAATACTCATTTAGAATCTATCGAAAAGTATTTTATAAAATAAAAAGATCTAGTACTCAAAACGACCAAATGGGTCGTTACATGAACTACAAAGTAATTAATGAATTCCAGCCTTTTTAAACATACGTTTTTGGGATATATTTTGGAAAAAAGATTGAACTATTTTGAGAAAATAAACATTTTGATACACGAAAATTATGAAAATTATTATTCTCTCCGTTTTAATTTATTTGTCTTATTTTTCTTTTTAATTTTTTTTTAAAAAAATTGATAACTCTTTAATTTTTTACCTTAAAATCACAAGATTCAAAAGATATTTTTGTATATTCTTCATTTTTTTTGTTTATGACTATAAAATTTAAAAGTTTTTTTTTTATCTTCTCAAATTCTGTATCAAGTCAAAATCAAATAAAAAGAAGATATAAGTAAAAATGCTCATTATATGAGTATTAAGATTAGTATTTCAAAAGATTTATTATTTGTCATCAAAGTACCGAAAAAGAGAAATAATTGTGGTTATATCACCAACCTCAACATTAGAAAGTTGGCAAAAAAAATTATGGTGGTTGAGGCACACCATGTAATAGTTGTATGAGGGATTATTTTAATAGATAAAAATTTATGGATCCTATTTCTTTATAACTGTTTTTTTTCATTTCTCTTCCCACTCCTCCATTCCACCTTTTATTTACCCCTCCATGTAGAGTACGGAGTTACCTTTTGTTAATTTTTTTTTAAAAATTTAAATATATTTCATTACACAATAAAAATAATAATATCCTAAAATTAATATTTCATTATCTCTTTTTCGCATTATTTCTCCAATTCTTCAATAAACAATTGTAATGTCCTAAAATTAGTAATTCATTTTTTTATTATTTTGATAATTCATAATATTCATTTGTTAAAAAATCAAATATAAATAAATATGTTAATATTAATGTAGATTTAAAGTCAAATAATTACGTATTTAAAAAAGCTAAATTAAGATTGTGCTCTTAATGTCATACAAAATCAATTGTATTATTTCAAGGACAAATATAAATAGTTATTTAAAATTACTTGTAAATCAACAAAATCAAAATATAATTTAATTGTATTTTTTTTTCATTTTTACTCTCTCTATTAATTTATTATTTTTTGCTCTTGAAATTCAAACTATAAAATATTTCTTATTATATTAATATGATAGGAAATGCAACTAATAATTATTTTTTTTGGTTGAATTGCAACATAGTGAGAAGGTTATATTTTTTGAACAAACACTATAAGTTGCAATTTTTATCATGTTAAAATAATAATAAAGTAATAATTTTAAAAATAATTAAATTTCACATAGCTTGAATTTCAAGAATAAATATATTATCATATAATTGAGAGAGTATGTATGTAGGAGTTTATGGATGATTTTCGATTTTGGGTTACATGAAAATAGTAACAAAACTTATGTAAGTATTCATCAAGATTACTAATGGTCTTTATGTTATATTTTCTTGTTAGAGAATATTTGATACATTTAATGTTTACGAAAGTAAAAAAAAATGAAATTATTGAGAAGAAAAAATAATAATTTTATACTCCTTTTATTTTTCGTACTAGTTATTTTACTTTTTTAATACATTCTTTTAAGAAATTATTAATAAAAATGATAATTTATTAATTTACCTTTATATTTATTTTATTTTTGCAATTTTACAAATTTTTATTTATACTTTCAAAAAGAATTAATGGTTAGGGAATGAAAATAAAAAAAATTCTAGTTTACTTTTTGTTAATTGATAAATAATTTTAATAATTATTTTTAGTAATTTAGATAATTAATATAGTATAGGAAAATAATACTAAATGTTAGGCGTATGATGAGTTTAACTAAATTTCATACTTTCAAATTATTTGAAGATAAGAAAAATAGCAAAATTTGAAATAATGGTAAAAAAAACAAGAAGTCAAAAAGTTGAATAATAGGAAAAAGTTAAAAAGGAAGAGAGAGAAAAAACTTTGGCCTATTTTTTCTGAAAATGGGACTCAAGAATCCATTTGTCAAATTATGAAATGAGCCTCACACAACTCTTGTATGCCACCTCATACTTATCCCTCAACCACCATAAAGTTTTTCAAAGTTGGCAAGTGAAATGAAAATATCCAGTGGGGCCCATGATAATCATACTGACATAAAGTTGTCTGTGTAAGAGCAAAAGGTTAAATTGACCAAAGGATCAAAATATTTAGTAAATCAGGTTTTGGGCCAATAGTATGACATCATTTTAATAGACGACACAAATTTGGCATTTCAGAGAAACTAATTGGTTTTATTGATATTTGTGGGTTACCAGCAAAATACTATAGCTTGGAGAAAGTAAACTTAATAGACAAAAATGCCCTCAAAACAAATTTTCTGACATTAAGCTAACATGTTGACGGAGAGGTGCTTCACTCTCACTTCTATAATATCATATGCCCGTGCCTCGCATGGGCACCCTTTATCTAACATGTTGACGGAGAAGTGCTTCACTCTCACTTCTATAATACTAGATAAAGGGTGCCCGTGCAAGGCATGGGCTTATGATCGAAATAACTTTAATTGGTACTCCCTCCGTCCAAAATTGTTTGTCAGGGTAAGGTCATGCACACCCCTCAAGGAAAATTTAATACAAGGTGTAATTTGACTAATATAACCTTACTATACCAAGAATACCAAAAGTCCACATAACTTTTCAATTGAACTACACTATCATTAAGGGTAGAATTGGAAAAAAGTGACTAATTATTTCTTGATTGTTTAAATTGACAATTAATCTTGGACATCTATTTTTAGTATACCTGCCAAACAATTGTGGACGGAGGGAGTATAACTAATCTCCAGATACCCCCAATAAAGCATCCAAATTATAACATGAAATAGGGAACCATCAAAATAAAATGTAGTGGTACTGAGTTGGTGCTCTCGTACATTCACTATCCCAGTATCATAAGTACCACCATTAATATTATAGCTATAACACGGTACCTCCATGAATATATTAATTTACACAAAATATATCATACTATTCACATCCATAAGAGGTCATAACCAGCAACCCTTTTAAGTTTGGGTAGAAACATGTGCAGCCCATAAGTGGCTATTAGATGGCTAGTCTCGGCAGGAATTCAAGAAAAGTTGAAAGCTCATAATTCTTTCCTACCTAGACATTGAACAATTCATACACAAACTCTTGAATCCCAGTGAAAAGAAAGAAAAACTAACTACCTCTGCTATTAAAATTCTAATTGAAAAGACAAATACCCGATGTAGAAACTTTTGGTAGAAAAATATATAAAATGTTGTTTTACTCCTCCCTCTATTCTAAATTGAACCTCCATGTTTAACTTTAGCACAAATAAGAAAATGGCCCCTGCAAAAGTGTATTGCTAAAGTTAGAGAGCATGATACCTTTCAACATGAAAATGTTTTACTGTTTTTATTCCCAAGAAACTTCTGGTGTTCCCTCAACATCTTCAAATTCTTGCCCTTGCTTAACTATACAAACTTGAAATTTCCTTTTTAGCATACATAGACATAGGTAGTGAACTGAGTGTCTTTCGTAAGTCCTATTTGCTCGAAAATTTTGTGTATTTCCAGATTACTAAACTATTTTATTCCTAAGGATTTTCTTAAGGTAGAGAGGTAACGGCTGCTTGGGATCAATCACAACGTAATAATCTAGCTCAAGCAAGTGTTGTGGCATATAAAATTGGTGCCCGAAAAAATAACAATTTCTGTTTATAGAGGAAAACACTATCACACCAAAGCAAGAAACAGAAGTACAAATGAGTAACATGCATCTTTTTTCCTTTTAGGAAAAGTTTTAAAGACAATTCTAACTTATATTACGCAGTCGGTACTCATCTGCCTAAATGTTGTAATATTATCAACTCTGGGAAGACCTCCTTTGAGGTAACGAAGCAATGTTTTCTACTCGAATTACATATAATTTCAGTCCACAAGTTCCCCAGATATCAGATTCACATTTGACAAGTTAATTGAAGAGATAATGGAAATAAACACACTTGAACTATTACTTCTCCGCGAGCTTCACACGTGAACAATTGGTTGTTCTCCTTTTCTTTTCCTACTTGAACTATCACTATGTGCATATCATTCTTGATAACTTTTTCATGAGTTTCACCCGCGAACAATTTGTTCTCCTTTTCTTTTCCTAACTAAACTATCATCATTTATGTATTATAAGGGGAAAATGATGGTTTTTATGTTCTTTTGGATAGCACAGGACAGGTTAATTAATGCCTCAGACTGAGAGTTGAGGTGATGCCTCTACAGGTACTCCCGTAGCCAAAATCAAAGCTCTACCTCTCTTGCTTCGTCTTCCTCTGTTACGTTGATAGTTTTGCCCCTTCAGGTATCAGCTGATTACTTTTTCTATAATTGTTCCTCAAGATTTGATATCTTCTTTCTTTCTGTTGTTAGTAATCCATCCTATGTGTGTTACTTTTTCATCAATTCTAATACTCCCTCCGTCCCAATTTATGTGGCACTTTTCATTTTTCGAGAGTCAAACAATTTAAGTTTGACCGAGAATTTGCGCATCGAATCTTCAATTTTTTGAAATGAAATTTATATATTTGTAAACTACGTAAAAAGTACTATAAGTCACAATAATTGATAATTCAAAATGCTTAAAAGATCTATGAACAATTTACGGTAAAAAATAAACTTGTTTGAATCTCGAAATCCGAAAAGTGCCACATAAAATGGGACGGAGGGAGTAATTCCTTCGTAAAATTTGACTACATCCAGATCCTAAGAGACTACTAAGAGTGACAACAATGTAGAAAATAGAGAGAACCAAGGTAGCTTATCGATCTAACCACTGGCATGTAGAACAGTTTGCAACAGGGGAACTATTTACATTGTTAAACTCTTTAAAATGATGCAGTTGTCTTGCAAAGTTTTGATCTTTTTACTCCCAAGTTAATTGAAGAGAGAACGGGATTTCACACGTGAACAATTGGTTGTTCTCTTTTTCTTTTCCTACCTGAACTATCACAAATATATATCATTTTTAATAACTCTTTCGCAAGTTTAACACGTGAACAGTTGGTTGTCCTCTTCTTCTTTTCCTGCCTGAGCAATCATCTTCTATGTATAGTAAGAGAAACAGTAATATTTTTTTATGTTCTAGTGGATAACGCTGGACATGTCAATTAATGTCTAAGACTCAGAGTCCTTATAGACCAATAAGAGTGATAGCAATGTAGAAAACAGAGAGAACCAGAGAGTAGTTTATTGATCTGATCGCATATACAATACGGAAAAAGTAACTCAATATTATCGTCAACCAAAATTACCACTTACTAAGAGCAAAACCTCGTGAACTCCAGACCGAACTTCTTTTCATTACTACACGTACAGGGCATTTTTGGAAGGGGAAAAATCAAAAAATGTTTCCTTTATTCTAATTTATATGACACATATGCAATTTCGAGAGTTAATCACATTTTAATATGCTTTTCAAATATTTTCTTTATTTCCATTTCATTTTTATATTCTTTCATCTGTTCATGTGAAAATTCATCAGAGGTAAAAACATCAGTCTTTTGGTTGATCTTTTAGGACCTAATGACGAAATAACTCAAAATTATAAGCAGAAGTAAGTTAAATTTTTCATTGAAAATCGAAGCATGAGTCAGCAATATTTTCAAATTTAAACTCAAATGTGAAGTACACAATAATCTGAAAAACCCCTTGCAGCTATAACCTTAGGATGGTTTCAATAACAAATTTTCCCCAAGTCAAAATAACATTAGGTTTAAACCGAAGGTAACAATTTAAAGTAACAAATACAACATTGAACAGATGGAAAGATGCATTAGAAGAAGAAAACTCATCAAATCAGAAACAGAAGCATACCTTTTTGTTCGTTCATAAAAGAGAACCTCTGAGGAGTTGATTTGAATCAGCACATAGTGAATGTGTTGTTTTCCATGGAAATAAAGGAGCTTTCAAAAACACACGGCAACTGATGACGGAAAGGCAAAGACGACGCCTTCCTTTCGGATGACCACAAGGGATATGGAATGCAAAGATTTTTAGAATCAGCTACCACAGATTAAAGGTGGAATTGAAACACACGCGTCAACCAAAGAAAGAAATTGAAAAGAGAAATTACCAGTTTACCCTTCGATTGTCCGACCAAACCCTCTCTTATTAAGAATTATTATATATCTATATATATACTAGGGGGCTAGTTCCCGTGCAAGGCGGGGGCTAGTTCCCGTGCAAGGCACGTGCAAATTTTGTATTGGGGCTGGACGGGCGAATTTTCTATTGGCGTGAAAATAAAGAAGACGTGGTGATGTTTTAAATATATTACATTACTTTTGTGTAAGGTTATACAGTAAGCTTGCTAATAAAGAGGAAAAACGAACGTTAGTGGTACAGTTGCGGATAAGGCTGTCAAAGTTGGATTCTGAATGGAGTTCTGGCAAAAAGAGTTGACTGACCTTTGTGGCAAAGTAAAAACTGTACAAAGTGGTGGGGCAACTGATTGATTTGATGAGATCTCCAAAAGTGAGCAAGCTCTGTATTTCCTGTAAGGCAAGAATATCACATTAAATATTTGTATTTGAGATTATAGCATAAACAGATGGAATTGGACTTACCTTTTCTGTACAGAGGTCAAAAGTAGCTGCCAAAAAGCTTGGATTAACTGTAAAAGTTGTTTTGAAAGAAATTATTTGGTTAGTATGTGATAGAAATAGTAGTTGAACAAAGAATTAGGAGTGGTAATCACCTTTAGTTTGGTTTTTCTGGAGTTGGTGGCTCCAGCTTCTGCTTCATTCTCAGTGATAATGATTCTGCCTGTTCACTCACTTGTTCTGGTTCAAGCTGTTGCTTTCTTTTGCTTGCTTCCTGGATATTGGTTTTGTTAGGTGCTGTAGGAGGATGTGTGGTGTATTCCTTTTCCATGCACGACTGAATATATAATTTTGTAGCAGTTGTGTTTGGAGCACGTGCAAACGCCTTTTTTGCCCGAATAGAAAAGATCTTGTTGATAAAGCCTGTGTGGAGATCTTTCATAGGTGGACAATTGTTCTATGAGAGTGAAATGAATATTTATGAAATTCTTTTGATAAGTTTATTAATGTAAGAATCATACATATATTATTTAGCTAGAACTTATACCTTAGTGGAAGTTCTTTCGTAAATCTGTTCTGCAGTCAGGGATAGTAATTTCCCTCCCTTTTTGTTCATAATCATCCCTGTTGTTGTACCTGAGTTATCTTCCAGATTTACATTAAATCGGCACCTGTGATTGTATGTTGAAAACACTATTACTCGTCATCAAGAATTAAGAAGTAGAAGAATTTGATATCATTGGTGTAGTAATAGAGTACCTGGGGATGAGCATTCTGTGTTGACCACAGTTCATACAGTGAATTTGCATGATGATCGGATAACGAACGTCGTGTCCACAATTGGAACATACTAAAACATAGTATTTCTTTTGGTCAGCTGGGAAGGATATCTTTGCTTCGATTGAAAATGTTTGTCCCTGTGTTAGGAAAAGAGTGAATGCAGGTGTTTGTAGTGAGTCTTAAGATTAAATAATGAATCAATTTTTTACTAACATCTTCTTGGAATTCGGTGTTTGCAATTAGGATGACTTCTTCTCATCTACTGGAATAGAGATGAGAGATCCAGATTTGGATGTGATCCTCAAAGTAAATGAAGTAAGTGTTGCTTTGTTCTCTGTGATCCTGCAGAGAATTCCCAAGAAGGTTAATTGTTGACAGTGTTTAATTTATCTATGTAGAATAACACAGTGAGAATATATGAAGGAGTACAGTAATACCATGCTCGTAGTTGCTGGCTTTGTGCATAAAGGGGATCAATTTGAATTGTTGTGTTGAATTTGGTCGTCAATGATACCCCTGTGTGAGTTAAATTAGCTAGTAATAAGTCTGAACTCAGAGATGATTTGTAGTATGCCAATCGAGATCATTTAAAGCTAGTATGGTAAGACTAATCAATCATTAGTGAAATAGTAGGTAAACCCAGCATCACAAACAAAGAGGATGTTATATTATATATAAGCAAAGAGGATGTTTTATTATATATATATATATATATATATATATATATATGACAGCGGACAAATAAAACTGAAATGGAAAAATGGTAGATTTCTCCTAGTATACATTCAGTTGCACACACATGTGTAGGTAAGCTCACCTAAGTGTGTTACACCAGTTATCCAATACAAATGTAGAATTTTCCTACGAATAGAAGATGTTTTCTACAAATAGAAGACTGATGTAGGTGAAACCAACAATATTAAAGCCTATAATATTGGTAAGTCATTAGGCTAAACATAAGCAAAAAAAAAATTGTAGCTTACCATTGTATCTTGATCCTCCAATACGACGTGCGAGTATTATAGGATATTCATGGAGCTGCTGCAACAGTTTGTTGCCTTCATTATCCATAATGGTTTGATCCCATATAGTGAAGGTGAAAGTGTGTTTACTGTAGAGTGCAACAAATTTATGTGGATATTTATTGTTTAAAAGTTTACTAAAAGAAACAATCAAATTCCTTTTAGGTTAAGCAAATATACTTACAATATATCCATAACAATAAGTTCCTGCAACCATTTGTTCATACTCATAAGTTATCTCGGTGGAAAACAATTGACAACAATTGCTAGTATATCTGTTGAGGACGACATTTAAAATGAACATATGTACATTTGAAGTAGTAAGTTCGCAATTCTTATTAAAGGGTAAAGCAGACTTACCAAACTCTTTCTTGTTTAGATCAGTCGTTGCCTGGAGGACCTGCTGCTTAATATCTGTAAAAGATGTGACAGTAAGTTTTGTCGGAAGTGGCAATGCATCCATATCATTTTCCTCAACTTCGACCAGTATGCTTTTCTTATCAAAAACCAATTCAAAAGCATGCAGTGGTTTTTCATATTTGGAACTTGACGGTTGCATGCGTGTTCCTGCAATGTAGTAGGTGTGGTAGAGCTTGATCCGATCTTGATAACATGGAATGTCATCAGCGTAAACAATGCCCTTTATTTGATCTTCCTGTGGTTGAACATGAAATTTAGCTATGCTTAGAAGCAGAGTTGACACAAACATAGACAATTTACATGAACATCTGTAAGTATTTATTAAGCTGTCTAATAGTTCAAGTTTTGTGCTATTGTCAATAGCATGATGTATAGAAAGGTTGGGAAAAAGGTAATGGGAAATGATGTAGCAGGTCCATTCTCATTCAGCTAAATGAGTTATTGAACTTTTAAAGTATTCAAACCTTTGGCAAATAGCAGTTGGGGTCGTTACAACCTGGGAATTCAGATTAGTTAACAGAATGTTGAAGAATACAGAAATCCAGGAAAGTAAGCAAAAAATGCAGAGCCGAAAACAAAGATTTCCAAATCTAAATAATAACACTTCGGATTGAAAGAGAAGTCCTAATCATTATGTTATTCTGGTTTTTAGTTTTAGATACCTTTGAGTTTACTCAAGAGTGACATTGGTCCTTTTAGTCTCAGTTGATGTTTAAGAGCACATTAGTAGTTGTAGCATAAAAATGGAGAGGTGGGAGAGGGAATCATTGTCCTATAATGTATCATTGTTTTAGTTATAATAATACCCGGAGGCAAAAATTTACAATCAAAGACAGTATAAAACATACCAACAATGCATGATTAAACCAGCAGGAGATAAAGCATTGACAACAGAAGAAGGAGAATGTATTTCTCCCATTGGTCAGACAAATAAGAATTCCTTTTATTTTCACAGTTTGAAGGTCCAGGTATAAGTAATTGTTCTTTTTTAAACAATTGTTTTTACCAAAGTTTTCAGTTTACCAAAATTTACAAGCCAGGACAACATGAAATCTCATATGGGATTCAGCAACCTGTTGTATGTTCAACATTGAAGACGTAGAGAGAAAAGAGGAAGATGACATTGGAAAGTTGCCTAGACTGTTAGAAATATATAAATGTTGAGGATTGATTTGCTGATATCTGAGAAAAATATTTGAAACAGCACAACACACATGTTGATTGAATCATTAAAAACAGTGATGTAAAATGAAAAGTCAGAGGTAGTAAAAAGGAGACAGTGATAAAGAGTAATGTAGTACCTGTTTATCTTGAAGGATCATATTTAGATATTTCACCCTTTTTCCTTGCTTTCTGCTGGGCCACATATATCTACAATTTGTATCTTACAGATCCAGTTTGAGCTTTGTGGAGTTAATTCACATATACGAATATTTTGTTCCATCTTCTGATGAGATGACGAGCACAAACACACTATAAGTTTAATGCTTCGCTAGTCAAAGATAGTATAGTATAAAGATCGTTTCCACAGGGATTGATACAAATAATAATTCAGTCAAATCTTGCTAATTATTATTCAGGTGATCAAAATAAAGGAGTTGATTGTGGTTATGAACCACTTTTATAGACTAAATGATAATTTAAAATCAATTGGTAACTATGAAGATTAATATCAATACTAAAAGATAGGGTACAAGACTAACAAGTGCATAATGATAGTTAGGATTTGACTCATTCATTTACCACATCTAAAGTTCTATTGATTCTCTCGAATTCGATAGCTTATTAGAGTATCCTTTAAGCCTTAGATTTTTCTTTCGAGTAAATCTCAGGTTAAAGAATAAACCAATTATACTCAAGTGATTTTAATATGCAAAAACATGTTAATGATTGTTCTTAAGGAAGTAACGTCCTTCGACTATTTTTCCTTTAGATTTAATCAATAATTATCAAGAAGCTCCTTCGATTACTTTAGAGAAATATATTGATTCAATCCAACAAAACTATGCAACAATATTCACCAAGATATTCCTCTTTCGATTAAATAAAATAATGAACAAGGTTGCAATTTAATTCCAATTCCCATAACAAGTTCAAGCATAAGAATGAAAATCAAAATCCCAACAAATTCATCAATACAACATGTTTGTCAAATACCCTCTAAGAATCTACTCCATGGATGAAAATAAGTTTACTAAGAACAAAAGAGAAAAAGAAAACATAGCCATCAAACTTTGAATCCCAACTTCCGTTTTGGATTCGAGTAGTGTACCACGTCCTCCTCTTCCTCTCGCTAGTCGTTGCCTTTTCTACTCCTTTTTCTCCCTCCTTCACTTGGGGAAAGCTCCAACATCATATAGCATAGGGTTTCTTCTTCCTCAAATTACAAAAACACCCTTACTTTTATGTTTTCACGCTGCAACTCCACGCAGGCGCGTTGCGCAAGCACTTGGACGCGTGAATGGCGCGCGGAGAACCAGTATGCAACTCAGAATTCACGCGGGCGCGCCGCCGGGAGCGCGAAAAAGCAGCTACTCCAATTTTTGCTCATTTTTCTTTCATTTACCTTCTTGTTCCCCCTTTTTCACTAATCATGTTCAAAACTTGAATTGACCACCTTATATACATGAAAAGTATACCAAAAATTGCAAAGTTCACATTAAAACTTATCTAAACTTTCTCATTTTATTCTCCCATCAAATACCCCCACACTTGAGTTTTTGCTCGTCCCGAGCAATTTTGAACAGACTTGACCCCCTCTAGACCTTAACAAAAACTCACTAGAAATAGTAATTGACTTCAACCATCCCTATTGGCGTATGCAATGTTCATCGTTAAATGACTATTAGTGACACTAAAATTTAAGCAAAAATCAATCCAAGAACTTTCTCACAACAAGAAGATGCCATTCATTCATAGGACTTATGCTCATGCATCATAAAAAAAACTCTCATTTCACTCCCACTCACAAAGAAATACATCATGTTTTTACAGAATACCATAGGTTTGGCAATTGAGTAATTTTCCACTAATGTAGGACTTGTACATGTATAATTTGTGGTAAGGTTGTTTGTGGAAAGTCATTTTCCCCTCTCTCTCTTTTTTTTTTTTTTTGCAACATTCGTCTTCTTTTGAAGTTTGAAGACACATCCAACACTTTCGTTGTCCTTCTCTCTTTTTCACCCTTTATATATATATATATATATATACACATCACTTCTCTACACTTGTTTATTCTTCCAATTAAGAGAGTGATACCGGGTTGGTGAATTTAGGCTAGAATTGGGTTAACCAAAGAAAGCCTACAATCATATTCTTCCTCAAAAAGTCCTAAGATTTTGCCTCAAAAAACTACCATGCCAAGTTCTAGATTCTTTCAAACATGAGTACACATCAAAATCATCTCACCACACAATATTCAAGGATTGATTATGCCTCAACTTCTCATGCCAACAAGTATGCAAATTTCAATAAAGCAAGCAACACAACCTCAAGATAGGAATCCATCAATTTCTACCTCTAACACTTGTTAAACAACTATGCTATGACTCCTATCCTAAAAAATGTCTGATTCAAAATAAATACGACTATGGTAAAATAATCAGACAAGAAACCCATAGAAGTACAACAAAGAAGCTATCCTAAGATGAAAATCATTTTTTTTTAAAATTACAATTACTTCACCCCCACACTTAAGTTATGACATGTCCCCATGTCATAAAGAAACTACAAAAGTGAAGGAAACTTTCATGTTCGTTTCTTCAATCAGTATCGGAAACCGTGCTGGAATCCATTGTGCATGTTCGGCCAAGCGCGCGTAACCAAGCCAGGATCTTTCTATCCGATTTTCCTGTTTTGACAGTAAGCTCGTTCATCTTCCTATGTATATCAGCCATCGAAGAGTGTAGCGCATCTACCTGAGTTTCAAGAGAGTGAAATTGCTCCGCCCATGACCTCCCCATTGAGTCCTGAGTGCTTTGGGTAGGTGGCACTACATGATCGGGCAACTCTTCCACATCATCAACGTCGCTGCCTACTTCTTCAGTACTTGCGGGCTGTCGTACTGTTTTTCCGATTGTCATTCTATCCGCTCTGAACTTCGGACCTGCCATTAGAGTAACATCGGACTTCTTGAATTTAACACCAGAAAGTCTACATAACTTTGTGATAAAAGCTGGAAAAAAATAACCATACTTGGGAGAAGTGGCTTTATCTAACATCTCTTCTACAATCAATAGGCCAGGCAGGATACGCAGTTTGGTCATCAAAAAAAAAAAAAGAGCAGCTCTAAAACCATGTACCTCAGTAGTATTGGTGGAGGGAAGGATACGACTAGTGATAATATGAAACCAACACTTAACCTCAGTGTTCAAGCTCTTGGAGTGGAATTTGTGATTCTCCTTCAACCAATGAACTGTCTGTCCGGATGTACAAATAACTTCAATGAACATGTCCCATTTGTAAGGCTCCTTTATGTATGTTGTACGATATTCATCTTGCGCTGTACCACCAAATTGTGGGAAGTTATAGACGCTTTCAATGGCTTCTTGTGCAAAATTCACCGTCTTCCCCTGTACCATGCATACTTGATACTCATGCTCCGACAAGTTTGCATAGAATTCCATCACAACTGTCATATTAGCCTCCTCAGGCTGCTAAAAAAGAACTTCCCATTTGCGCCGCACAATCTCTTAATAAACCTGCTGACAATCGCCTATCAACGAACCTCGCTCAACTCTTTTTTCTACAATGGCCTTTTTGAATGATTTCACCTTAAACCGTTGTTGAGCTGCCCAAGAAACAAATTTGGTGGCATCATATGATTTCAATGGTTGCAGTTCTTTTTCCTTTGAAGATTTTGAACCCTTTTGTGTTGAGGAACTTCCTCTTGTGCTTGGAACAACCCCCAATTTTTTTCTCTTTCGTGAATTCTCCATTAGGTTGAGTATCCTGCCAAAAAGAAAATAATTCACTTAGTATAGTAATCTTGGCATTCCAATTCTAGCAATGTGCACCTAAAATCACAAAAGGTGGGTTGCTTCCTTTTTCATTCCCTCTCTTTTCTTAAATTCTTTTTCATTGTACCCATTGAGGAATTTTATCAAACACCTTGTGTGCATCGTGTTTTTACTTCAATTTGAAACACAATGGTGTAAATATCTACCCAACAATCAAGCAGATTATTCAATTGACATCTTTCATACTATCTTAGGCAAGACAACCATAAATAAAGAAAATTAGTGAAATACATACCTTGAATTCTTGATGAATGAATGAGAATGAGAAAAATGCTCTTACTTTAGCACTTTTTAGAGAAGAATGAGAAAGAATTAGGGGTAAAGAAAGAAGATTTAAAGTAATAAGGAAAATAAAAGAAACAAGGTTTTTTTTTTTTTAAAACCTTAAAAAAAACGAAAAATTAAACTTACCTGGTGGGACGCCCGTGCGCTGATCGCGTGGTTAAAGGAATGACCCACGCGGTCGCGCGGCGAGACAGCACGCTCGCTGAAACCCACGCGTTGGTCGCGTGGCGAGGCGGCGACCTAGTTTGTTGTGGCACGCTGGTCGCGTGTTCTGAATGGAATTTGCGCGGGCGCGCGGACGACCTTTTTTTCTTTTTTTGGGTTGCCTCCCAATAAGCGCCTGATTTAACGTCGCGGCACGACCCATGTAACCAAATTTGTGCTATTCAATGATAATGTTAGAAGATTGTTTTCTAAATCCTCCAACCACATATTGCTTTAAACGGTGCCCATTAACCTTGAAGCTTTCAGTTCCTTGTGCATTAAAGATTTCAGTTGCACCATATGGACTTACATTCTTCACCACATATGGTCCCGTCCATCTTGATTTGAATTTTCCAGGAAAAAGGCGCAGTCTACTATTGTAAAGTAGCACTTTATCCCCTTCCTTAAATTCTTTTGTCTTGATGAGACGATCATGCCATACTTTTGTTTTTTCCTTGAAAATTCTTGCATTCTCATAAGTGTCTCGCCGGAACTCCTCTAATTCATTCATCTGCACGCACCTGTTCTCTCCCGCAAGACTTAGATCAAGATTAAGTAATTTTATATCCCAATATGCCTTGTGTTCAATTTCAATAGGCAAATGACATGCCTTTCTAAAAACTAATTTATACGGGGATGTGCCTATTGGTGTTTTAAATGCAGTTCTATATGCCCATAAGGCATCATCCAACCGTATTGACCAATCTTTACGAGACACACTAACCGTTTTTTCAAGAATTCTTTTTAACTCACGGTTAGCCACCTCTACTTGCCCACTAGTTTGGGCATGGTATGGAGTTCATGTTTTATGAGTTACCCCATACTTACCCAGCAATGATGCAAAGTGTTTGTTAATAAAATGAGATCCATTATCACTAATGATGACTCTTGGTGTGCCAAATCTAGTAAAAATATTTTTTCTCAAGAACTCGCACACCACACGAGCATCATTTGTCCTAGTAGGAATTGCCTCGACCCATTTGGATACATAGTCAACTGCTACTAGGATATATTCAAAAGAGTGGGAAGAAGGGAAAGGTCCCATGAAATCGATGCCCCATACATAAAAAATATCACATATTAAGATTGAATTTTGGGGCATCTCATTTCTCTTGCTTATATTACCTGTCCTTTGGCAACTGTCACACTGAACCACATACTCCCGTGCATCCTTGAATAGAGATGGCCAATAGAACCCTACTTCTAGCACCTTGGAGGCTATTCTATTTCCACCATAATGTCCACCTGCTGCTCCATCATGACAATGAGACAGTATACTGGCCATCTCTTCTTCAGGTACACATCTTCTAATGATGCCATCTGCACAAATTTTAAACAAAAATGGGTCATTCCAGAAATAATTTCTTACCTCGCTTCGAAGTCTCCTCTTCTGCTCATACCTCAGATCTTGAGGCACCCATCCACTAACTAAGTAATTGGTTATGTCTGCATACCAAGGTGCTCTTTCAAAGATTGAAGAGACTGAAAATAATTGCTCATCTGGAAACTCTTCCTTAATTGGTACCATCTCCACAGGAGGATTTTCCAGTCTTGACAAATGATCTGCTACCTAATTTTCTGTACCTTTTCTATCAATGATCTAGAGGTCGAATTTTTGAAGAAAAAGAACACATCTCAAAAGTCTTGGTTTTGCTTCCTTCTTTTGCAACAAGTATTTTAAAGCTGAGTGATCAGTGTAAACGTTCACCTTGCTTCCTATCAGGTATGATCTGAATTTGTCGAAAGCAAAAACCACTGCAAACAATTCCTTCTCAGTGGTTGCATAGTTCACCTGTGCACTATTTAGAGTTCGACTGTCATAGAAAATTGGTCTAAACAATTTGTCTCTCTTTTGTCCCAACACTGCACCCACAGCAAAATCACTAGCATCACACATAAGCTCAAATGGCTGACTCCAATCAGGAGTAACCATTATAGGGGAACTCATGAGCTTCTCCTTTACTTGGTTAAATGCCCTTAGACAATCAGATGTGAACAAAAACTTAGTATCTTTTGTGAGCAAGGTAGTTAAGGGCTTAGATGTACTAGAGAAGTTTTGACTAAATCTCCTATAGAATCCTGCATGTTCCAGAAAACTTCGTATGCTCTTCACAGATGTTGGTGGTGGTAGTTTAGAAATGATCTCCACCTTGGCTTTGTCTACTTCTATGCCATCAGCCGAAACCTTGTGCCCCAACACTATTACTTCTCTAACCATTAAGTGACACTTTTCCCAATTTAGAACCAAGTGAGTCTCTTCACAATGCTTTAAAACAGCTTCAAGATTCATTAGGCAATTGTCAAAATCTTCACCAAACAAGGTGAAATCATCCATAAAGACCTCTAAGCATTTCCCATTCAATTCAGCGAATATAGACATCATGCACCTCTGGAATGTTGATGGTGCATTGCACAAACCAAAAGGCATTCTTATATATGCAAATATTCCTGACGGGCATGTAAAAGTGGTATTTTCCATATCTTCAGGTGCAATGGGTATTTGATTGTAGCCAGAGTACCCATCAAGAAAACAATAAAATCCTTGGCTAGCTACCTTCTCCAACATTTGATCAATGAAAGGAAGTGGGAAATGGTCTTTCCTAGTTGCATTATTCAACCTTCTATAGTCTACACACATTCTCCACCTAGTAACAGTTCTGGTTGGGATCAATTCATTATCATCATTCTTCACTACAGTCATTCCTCCTTTCTTTGGTACCATATGAATTGGGCTGATCCAAGAGCTATTAGAAATTGGGAATATGATTCCCCCATCTAGAAGTTTAAGAACTTCTTTCTGTACTACTTCTTCCATTTTCTCATTCAGCTTGCGTTGTGGTTGTACCATCGGCTTGCTATTTTCCTCCAACAGGATTTTGTGCATGCATAATGCTGGGCTAATCCCCTGAATATCTGCAATAGACCACCCGATAGCCTTCTTGTATCTTCTCAACATATATATCAGCTTCCTTTCCTGTTCTTCTGTAAGATAAATTGAAACAATTACTGGAAAACTGTCAAGTTCAAGAAATACATACTTCAAGTGAGTGGGAAACACTTTGAGCTTTGGAGTAGATGTTTGCTTCTCTCTCAAAAGTTCATTTTCAGTGTCTTCTGGATAGGATTCTCGTTCCCTTGCTTCTTCATTATTCGATTCAGTGATGCATCTCTCCATTGACTCCTCCATAAGGTTTTCATTCTTATATTCTTCAGCCAGATCAATCAAAATATCTACTTTGAAATAGAAATAGACATTTTCCTCCTCTTGAGGAAATTTCATCATCTTTTTCATATTGAAAACTACTTTTTCTTCTCCAACTCTGAGCATCAATTGTCCTTCATATACATCAAGTATTGCTCTACCAGTAGCCAGAAATGGTCTCCCAAGAATTAACGGAACCTCCTTATTTTCTTCCATGTCCACCACTATGAAATCCACTAGGAACACAAACTTGTCCACTCTAACTAAAACATCTTCAATTATTCCTTCAGGAATGATTGTAGATTGATCTGCCAATTGTAAGGAAACAGGGATGGACTTAATTATTCCAAATTCTCCTTCCAATTTCTTGAAAATTGACAGCGGCATGAGGTTTATAGAGGCTCCTGAGTCGCATAATGACTTCTCAAATCTAACATTTCCTATAGCACAAGGAATAGTGAAACTACCCGGATCACCACATTTCTGAGGTAGTTTATTTTGAAGGATGACACTACAACTAGCATTAAGCTTGACTACTGATGTTTCCTCCAATTTTCTCTTGCTAGATAGAATTTCCTTTAGGAACTTTGCATATGCAGGCATTTGCGTGACAACCTCTGTTAATGGTATGTTCACATGTAGCTGTTTTAGCATCTCAAGGAACTTTCCGAAACATTTATCAAGCTTTTCTCGTTTCATCTTCTGAGGAAAAGGCAATGGAGACATATGTTTTGTATCCCCATCAACTTCCGACTTGTCCTTACCCTTCTTGATTTCATGAGATTCTTTTGTCTCCACTTGGCTTTCCCTTGACTTCTCTTTTGGACTCTGACAATTTTCACTCAACATCTTCCCAGAACGCAATGTTACAGCCTTCAAATCTTTTTGAATTCCTCACTATGTCACTTGGTAGAGTTCCTGGAGTTCTTTCAGAAATTTGATTTGC